GACTACTTATGATTTGTAATTCAATCACAAGATGGCACTATATTAGTGTTGGTGGGAGTATATTAGCCTGGTTTATTTTTATTTTTATATATTCAGGGATTTCCACACCTTATGATCGTCAGGTGAATTCTCTTTCTACTCTGGGTGTAGTGTATTGAAAAAGTAACTTTAGAAATTTCCTCATGACCCATTAAGAACGCCGTTAACTTGACCTCTATTTCATTTTCTGCAGGAGAATATTTATTTTGTCATATATGTCTTGATGAGTACGTTCTACTTCTACATCATGCTACTTCTAGTTCCTGCTGCTGCACTTTTCTGTGACTTTGTTTACCAAGGGTAAGGTTATGTTTTGAAGAACAGTCTTTTATAATGATGTTTATTAGATAAAATTGGTGTTGCAGCATCATCTCTCACGGTACTCGATATTTTGCATTTGGGTTTGATTGTTTTGGTTACAGGGTTCAAAGATGGTTCTTCCCCTATGATTATCAGATTATTCAAGAAATGCATAGAGACGAGGTGGATAACACTGGTAGGGCACAGCTGCTGGAGGTAGGAAACCAGCTTACGCCAGCTGAGGCAAGGAGTTATGCTATATCTCAACTCCCACGTGAGCTATCAAAGCACACCGGCTTTGCTTTCGATTCACCGGGGTACGAATCCTTTTTTGCTGCACAGCTTGGTGTATATGCCCCACCAAAGGCATGGGATGTTGCAAGACGAGCTAGCATGAGATCAAAGCCTAAGATTGGACACAAAAAGTAATTTGGAGTAGGATCATTGTACATAGTTTCATTTTTCCACCTTGGGAGCCAGCCTAGGAAATCTGTAAAATTAGAATCTGCCATGTTAAATATGTAGTCATTTTCAATTAGGATATATTCTGTTACTCTTGGGGGGATTAGAGCAGGTTTTCAGGATTCGTTAGATGTACATTCCAGGATATTCAGGAATCCATATAGTCAATTTTGTGAAATTTAGAGGTTGTGCAATTCTTTTACTCGATTCGAGGAGTTCAGCACTTATTTTTTATTGGATTGGATTTACTGACTAGTTTCTGGATATCTGCAATGTCGGATTGTTGAAATTCATGAAGTGTTGTTTCTGATAGCCTTTCTTTTTTCGCAATTAAATGCATTCTCAATTCTTTAACATTCTTCACTAAAAAGTGTCATGGTAAGTGCCTGAACATCAACCATCACAGAAGTAGGCTGATGATCTCGCATTACATTCCTATCAGGTATATCGTGGGTGATGAGCAAAGCTTATAGCAATTTAGCTCACGGTTTTAATGCATGGAGATTAGAAAACAGTGTAAAAAAATCAATTTATTAAATTTTATAAAAACATTTTAATAAAATTTACTCCGATGGAATCGATTCCATGAGTAGTGTTAATTGATTACAATAACATTAGTTTTTTTACTTTGTTTAAAACGTTATGATATTATCGATTGAGTTTTTGAAAATCAAAATATTCTAATTAATTGATTAAGTTATTTGATAATTGATTACATAAAAAGTTAATAACATTTAGGGTTCCTGGATTCAAGTTACTAATATAATTAAATACAAAATTTTTGTAACCAATTACATAAGGAACAAAATGTAAACTTGACCACATGACGACATAACCAATTACATTTGTTATACTTTGTTTATGGATAATGATCAAAAATATCAATCACATCAAGGTGAATATTTCATTATATAAACTCAACACACTTCATATTTTTAAGGGTTGTTCAAAATTTGATAAAATTTTGAAAATGAGTTTATGAGAGAGAAAAATAATTTTTGAGAAAGAAAAGAAAGAAATCACGTGAGAACAAATACTTTGTAAAAGAAAGTTAATTATTAAAGAAACTTGTTCAAAGCTTTCTCAATAGAGAAAATATTTTCTTTGTGATCAAGAATTAAGTAAGATTAGGAGAGAAGGCTTGTGCTTAAAGGTTAATTCGTTTCATTCCTTTTTGTTTTGTTCTTTGTAATATTTAGAAGGAAAATGTGTCTCAAGATAGGATTTCTTAAGCTTATAAGCTAGAGAAGGGTTCTATAGTCAAAAGAATAATAAAAGATTCCTAAAGGGGTTATGGGATTGCTTTAGGATCTAGGATTGATCACCTATCTTAATTGTAATCATATTTTGACCTATAAACCTATGTGATCAAGGTTGATCATAGAAGACTGAGTGTAACTTTTTGAGGAAAGCGAATTAGTATATAAATTTTTGAAATCTTTGTCTCCCTTTTTGCTCATTATCTTGTTTAATATCAATTCTTGCATGTATTCTTGAAATTCAAATTTTATGTTTTTGTATGTGTAAAAGTGAAGCAAATGATCTTTGTACTTGAATGTTAATAAAATTTTCTAAAGTTCAAGAAACTAAATAATTCAAGAACTTGTTTTCAAAAGTAATTTCTGAATTCATAACAAAAGGGGTCAAGAATTTTTTGTTGTGCAACTTTATTTTTTAAAAGATTTAAAAATACCAATTCAACTCTCCCTTCTTAGTGAGCCTTAGGATTAACATAATGGTTTGATAGGTGGGACTAAAAAAGGCCAACAATTAAGATTCCTTTTGTTAGTTCAAATATAGGCTTTTAATTAAGGTAAGGAGAATGGTTTTGGGGTAGGGTATATAGATTAAGTTTTAAGATTCCAAGATTAAGTGAATGTACTTGAGCTTAAGAAGATGGCTTTAAGGAGGAAATAAGAGTAGTATATGTTTTCACCCTAAGTTATAAGATACGCCAAGATCATGAGGAGATATGTTTGGTAGCCTAGAGTGATGGGGGAGATATTTTAGTAGTATATGCTTGTTTAGTGTTGGAAGTCTAAGGTAGAACACCAAAATTTTATAAGAAGTTGCAAAGGTTAGATGTACATGAGTGAAGGTAGGATAATGTACCCATGTGTTTGTGGTTGAGTTACTTAGGATCACAAAGATTTGGGAAAATGATTGGGTAACATTTAGAGGTTTATAAACCCTTATGCTAGGATGATAGTTAGACTTCATAGTGTTCCTTTTGAGTGTTGGTTAGATAGATACTTCAGATTTACCTTTAGATTTTAGGTAGAGTGTCACAGAAGTAGTGAACCAAACATAGGATCGACTCAACGTATTATTACCTTTGGATGGATGGTTAGATAGAAAAAATCACCTTTAGAAGATTTTCTTAGAGTTGTCTTTTTGAGTATGGAAAAGAATGTGGAACACCCTTGAGTTAATCAAAACTAGGGATGGCAACGGGGCGGGGCGGGTACGGGTTTTATGATACCCGTCCCCGTCTCCGCGACTCAAACCCATACTCGTCCCCGTCCCCATACTCGTCGGGTATGTAAATTTTGTCCCATCCTCGTCCTCGTCGGGTATCGGGTATACCCGTACCCGTACCCGTAAAAAAATAATTTCTTTTTTAAAAAAATAACTTATCAAAAATAAAAGTCTGCATTCAACTTCAAACTATCAAATGTAGGAGACGTTCAAAAACAACCCATGAATTCATACCGTAAAGGTTGGAGCCCCATCACTAGCAAAGATAAATCCACCATCAATGGATCTGATATCATAGACGGAAATGCAAAGGCCCAAGTTTGCTATAACCTGACATGATTACACAAACCCAAAATGAAGCCAAAAAAACCATTAAGTCAATTACGTAACAATGGTTAGTGATCCATTAAACACGGCACACACACATGAGCTTTGTGCAGGTGAACGAACTCATCCCAAAAAATTATAAAACCAAGCAAAAGGGGAAACACCATACCGTGAGCCTTCAATATACAGAGAATCTTGCTTCGGGTGACACTCTTCACCTCAGCAATTCCATGAGAGTCTCGAAGAATCACACTGATTTGAGATGGAGTGGTGCGTGCGGGCTGGTGCGACACTGCGGGCTGTGGCTGCGGGGCTTGAGAGTAGAGTCTCAACTCATCACTTTTAACCCTAGCTAAAAGAAATAAATTCCCAAATGTTTATGGCCAGGGGCAACAGAGTCGCAAGACTCTTATGTCTTAACTTTATAAATGTTAAAAAAATTTAAAATGAAATCGGGTACGGGTATGAAACCGGGGACGGGGATGGAGACGGGGACGGGGACGAGGACGGGGCGGGTAAGTATATACACGTACCCGTACCCGTCCCCGATTTAATATTTTGGGTTTTACTCATACTCGTACCCGTACCCGGTCAAACCGGGTATTCTCCGTCAAAGTCGGGACAGGTTCGGGTATTACCCACGGATACGGGTTTATTTGTCATCCCTAGTCAAAACCTTGTATTAGGACCTAAAGTGGTGCAATAAATTGCTAAAGAGGTTAGACCAACTAAGAAAGGATTAAAGACTACCTTAGAAGATGAAAGAGATAACATGATAAAAAGAGAAGAGAGCTTGGGTCTAGTAAGGGAGGTCATGTATTCTTGAAAGTAACTCTTTAAACTAGAATTGGTTGGTATTATGATCTCACAAGCTTTCTTTGTGTCTTGTTAATCCATGCCAATACTTGAACAAGAGTCGACGAAGTTGCCTATCAATAGCCTTATTCCTTTCTCTACCAATTATTCTCGGTGTTCTTTTTTCCTTTCCAATCAGAAAGTATGTTGTGAATAATAAAAGAACATTTTAATTATGTGGATTTTAATTCATTAAAGGGGTTGTAAAAATTGATATATAAATGCATTGAATCACCTCCAATTGGCCTCTTTAGGGTTTCCATACCTTATAAGGCATTAGAAATGTGGATTGTAAAACTAGATCAATCCACCATGTGTTATGATTAATAGTGACCATATTAGATTCATAAGAACATCTACAATGAAAATTGCTCATAAACAATTCTCATCCACTTTAAATAGGTTTTTCTATGTCACATCACTTATAAACAACTCATATTATATTTATACAATTTTTGTTTCAATAAAAATTACTTATAAGCACTTTCACTTTTTAACATCTCATAACTCACTTTTTTGACAACTCATACTATATTTTTTGATAAATTTTAAAAAAATTAATTATTATAGAAGGAATGTATATCTTGGAAAATAAATCAAACTTCTTCATATAGACTCAAGTAACGTATCTTGAAGAATGTATGTATCTTAATTTTAGCAATTTCCATTGACATGTTACTCCACTCTCATGGAAATTTGTGACAAGGGACGGTACTTAACTTTTACAAACTACTTAAGCAACCCCGCGGGACTTTTCTCAAACCTTTGTCTTTTCACGAGCTCCATCGCTTCCCTGCCAAAGCGATTTTCAGTAGCAGCACTTGCTTTTCTCTTTCCTTTCCTTCTCTTTTTCCCCATTATTTTCCCTTTCCACCATTTTACCTCCCATCTCATCCTTGCATTCCCACTGCACAACCTCCCACTCACACGTTCCAATAGTGGCAAGCCTTCGCACCTCGCATATTTCAGAAGCAAAAATTAGACATAAATGTTCATCAAATAATATTATAACACCTAAATATGATCATAATGTCATACTTTAACCGTTTTAATTTTATCATTTCTTGTCATCAACAATCAATAAATATTTTGAAAAGGATCACCTCTAAATTTAGTAAAATAACAACTTCAGGAAATGTAAAATGAATCTCATTCATCTTCAAATGTTTCGTAACGAATGTCTTGGAGCCAGTTATACTTAGCATTCATATATATTATATTTTTTTATATAGAGAGAGAGAAAGAGAGAGAGATTTAGGAGGTCAAAACCGAAATATTTCTTATGTTATATACAAGTAAAGGACTTTTTATTTTATTTTTTCTATTTCACTAAAAGACTATACTTTTATTTATCAGGGAAGGGCGAATGCTTCATATGTATCTAAATAGTACCTAAGTCTTTTAAAAAAAAAAAGTTTTTTATACATACCCACGACCCGATACTCATATGGCATGATTTTAAGAGAAACCGCTTTAGAGGTCATCTTCATTATCGGTAGATAGGAGCACCACCTTCATCACTGCTGAAAAAATTGGCCAATTTTTCTGAGATAGATTGTAGGCCTTTGTCTAGTGATTCTTCGCCTCCATCATAATCATCGTCCCCTTCAAAGATTATATGAACCCCACATTTTTTTAACTCCAACCCCTTATCAAAAGGTGGATTTCTCTTACTCACACACAATGCATCAGCATCTTTCAAAAAAGCTATCAGCTGATGGTAATCATGGAACCTACACAGGTGTATGTGTTCTTCATCTGTCCTTGGCACCCCACGAATGTTTAACACTGTACTAAACAGAGTCTTGCCCTGTTTGAGAACATTTGCTTGAACATCAACCACTCCAGGCATATGTTCTCGCTTCATATTAGGTATATCAATGCCATGGTTGATTGAAAGAACAACACCAACTATTACACCTTTTAGCTCAAGATTTTTAGGCTTGGAGAAGCTGATAGTTTGTCCTGAAAACCATTCTGGTAATTTGCTTCCTGGCATGCTCAAGTTCTGTAAATTCCTCAATGCCACCTGTCATACAAATACTCGGTTTGAAGCAATAAGAAGCAACACTTATTCCTCATTGTTCTTAATTTATATCAGTTAATTATGTATGATATTTTTTTTAAATTAGTCCATTTTAAAATTCTATTCCTTTTTAGTCCTGATGATAAGTAAAATACTCACATTGTTTTATTAAAATAAGGACTCAAATAAGACAACTCAATTTTAGGATAAAAGATTCCGGGTTTTCCTTCGATTACGAGAAGGATGATTTTTCGTTCCTCGACAATAATTTGTTTTATTCCCTCATTTACGAAAATGTATCATATGTAATTTTTGTCCTTCACAAAAAAAATTGCTTTTTTTTTTCGGTTTTCATTTATGGAAATAAGGATTATACATGACACATTTTCGTAAAGGAGAACTAGAATGAGTAAATTTATTTTTGAGTCACTAAAAATAAACATTCTATTTAATCTGGATTAAAAAGATATTTATTCGAATTCTTTTTAAGCCCTTATTCATTCATTGACCAAAGGTTGAGGGATAGAAAAGGCATGAACAACCTTTGAAAGTCTCTTGCGGATTCGTGTGGAACATGCAGTGCAACCACTAAGGTACAATCTTCTCAAGGACTTCAAACTTTCAAGACCAGGAATATCCACCACTTTTACACAGTTTGTGAGTTTCAACTCCTGTAGGCTCTCTAAATTTGACATGTCATGGATAGTTTCTAATACAGAGCAGTTTTCAACATTCAACTCAATCAAGCTTGAAGGAAGTGAAGGGAGAGAGATCAACTGAGTGCAGTTTGGAAGTGAAAGCACTTTGAGAATAGAAAGGCCCTTCAAGCTGGAAGGAAGGCTGTGAAAATCATTCATGCCCAAATTTAAAGTCTCTAATACTGATAAGTTCTCAAATTGATCTGGAATTTTCCCAGATATTCTCCACGCTCGGGCGTCAAGCTCTGTTAGCAAGGTCAGATTGCAGAAGGAAGATGTTAGTACAAAAGGGCTGGGTTTCTCTTCAGGTTCTGTAAGGAAGCTGTTTTCATTGGAATTTAAATCAGGCTTCTTTGCCATTCTCAATGTTCTCAAGCTTGAGAGCATACCGAAGCTTTCAGGTAAGTTTGACCCAGCCGTTTCCTCCATGAGAAAGTGATGTAGAGATTTCAAATTTCCGATAGAAGGTGGAAGCTTTCTGAGCATTCTACATTTGTTCAATCTTAAGGTGACAAGATTTTCTAGCAATCCAGTGGATTCTGGCAATTCCCTGATATTTCCATTGACCATGTTCAGTGAAGTAAGAGATGCTAGGTGGCCAATAGATTCTGGTAAATATTCAAGATCTTTACAGTTCATCATCTCAAGTTTCCTCAGTAGCTTCATCTCTCCAATCTCATCTGGCAAATTTGTGATGGTTGTACCATCTAAGTGAAGCTCAACAAGTGAGGCCAAAGTTTTAATTGAATTTGGCAATGAAGTGAGAAATTTACAATTTCCAACTGATAACTCCCTCAGGCAAGATAAAGAACCAATGGCAGAAGGAAGTTCTTTAATTGCAGTTCTATCAAATAAAAGTTCTGTCAGTGAAATGAGATTGCCTATAGACTCAGGAATTATAGTGAAAGATTCACACCACATCAAATTGAGTCTCTCAAGGTTATTCAATGTTCCAACAGAGTCAGGTAATTCTTCTAATCCAGACCGGTATAGAGATAATTCTTGCAAAGAACATAGATGTCCTATAGAACTAGGTAGCCTTCTCAAATGTTGGCAACCTTCTAAAACAAGCCGTTCTAGTTTGGTGAGGCGAAAAATGGACTGGGGCATCTCAGCTATAGCTGTGTTATCAGCATGAAGTGCTTTCAAGGATTTCAGGATGCCTATGTTTTCTGGTAATGTTTTCAACTTGGAGCAGCCAGAGAGAAAAAGGCTCTCTAGATCTTTAAGCCCTGAGACATCAATCGGAAGGTCGAAAAGGTTTGAACAACGAGTCAAATTTAAACTACGCAAGGTTCTCAAACTGCCAATTGATTCATGAATCTTAGTTAGATTAATGCAGTTCTCCAGATCAATCTTCTCTAGATGTTGACACCCAGATAAATCAGGGATAGAAGTGAGTTGCGTGCAGTAGGAAAGGTTCAAAACCATTAAGTTCTGTGGCACCTACTAAAAAATGTGATGTTATACTATATGATATTATAATAACCAAATTAGAGAAATACTACAAGAACACTCAACTTTCGTTAAGTTTTTAAACACGTAATTTTCTTTAAAATTGTTTTTTGAAAGTATAGTTTCATAAAGTGGTTTGACTTGTGTCAACTCTTTCAATTATCATAAAAGGGCTATCAGATTGGTATAAAGATGTTCAAATCATAATAAGAGTCTATTTGAATATAAGGTAAAAGTACTTTTGAGAGTCTTTTTACTTAAAATAAAGAGTATCTTTTAGTACAGAAACTCCCAAAAGTGCTTGTAAGTTTGTATTTAAATAGACTCCAAGTTTTTTCTATTCATACTACATAAGTTAGCTGAAGCATACCTTGGAACCATTCCATGCCCACAAGGTTTCTATTTTCTTGCTGTTTCTGAGATCAAGGACAGTCAGCTCTCGTGGCCAAAATTCCAAAGGCATGCGTTCTAAAGGACACCCTTGCCACTGTAGCCATTTCAGTTCAGCTGGAAGAAACTTTCCTTCTAATTTCAGATTATTGATCTGAAGCTGTCTCAGATTAACCATTGGTTCAAAGGATTTCGTATGAAGTACAACCTCTTTGTTTTCCTCTGCTTGAGGTCGGAGACAATTCTTAAGGCATTGTTTGATGTATGTTGATACATTTTTTAAGCTTAATCTCCCCTGAAGATTCTTTGAAAAAACTGATTCAGCCTTGGTTTTATAAAATCTTTCTTCCTCAAAATCAAACACAATTCCTTGAATAGATCTAGTTCCCTACGTTAAAACAAAGTTAATCAAGAAATTAGCATATAGCGGACTAAAAAATATTGGTACTTCTATCAAAATTTATGTATTTGAATTGTCCCAATCTATGAATAGCATGCAGGTCAAACGTCATATATTAATCAAACAAGGACTCGTAAGTATAACACAACCCAACAAATAATGTAATACCAGTTCCATATCTTGAACATCTAATAATTGACAACGTATGAGAAATCCTATACAATTATTTTTATCATGCGCAACAAAAATATTCCTCTAAATCAAAGAGACAACAAAATTGTCCTAAAGATGTACAAAAAAGAGATGCATTTTGTATGATTAAACAGTATCTCCATTCTGATTTATTAAATAAATGGGCTCAAATCGAAGACCAGTTTGTCTGTTTGCTACTTTGTCTTATAGTGAATAATAATTGATTTTGAACGCTTTTTGTTTGTTTTCTAAATTAACGTATCTTAGTAGGGAGACAATCACTACACTGGGATGATAAATAAATCTTTACATGTGAGTAATACCTGAACTCATCTTCATTTTGATAAGAAATACTTAATTTGACTGGGTACGGGTACGGGTACAGGTAAAATTCAATATATTAAATTGGGTATGGGTACGGGTATATATATACTCGTCCCGTACCACCCGTACCCGTCCTCGATTGAATTATGTTAACAAAATTTAATTATTTATTATAATGTGAAACATTTATAGTTGTTTAATTATTAAGAAATCTATTGATTAAAATATGAGATAGAAAAATAATTTAATTATAATTATAATATAATGAAAAAATAATTTAAAAATATTGTGTTTTTTTTTTAAAAAAATAATAATAATTTTTTACGGTTACAAATACGGATACGGGTTTACCAGATAGCCTAAAGGACGGGAATGTGGACGGAAATTACATACGGATACGAGGATAAATTAGAATCGCAAAAATGGGGAGGGATATCATGAAACTCTTACCTAACCTGCCGCGTTGGCATCCCTATATAAAAGTATATTATTATAATCAAACTCCATATGTGTAACACCTTGTGCATGGAAAGATCCATTTGTTGCAATTTTAATAATACTTACCGCGTGACCCTTCAAAACAGCCATGATTTGAGCACGATCCCACAATCTGCTACGCATACCGGGATCAACGAGGTTTTCATCTAGAACAATTTGCCTGCCCATATTTCAACATAAGTTCTTACTCATTTAAATCTCCAAGGTCAAACTTCCAGCTACAAATAGTTCAAATTTTATCTTCTATGGCCATAGAACAATATTTATCTTCATAAATACATGAAGAAATAACAATAATGAGTCAAAGAGACTTTAACAAAATTATATTATAGTTGATTATAAAATATATTTACAATAAATATATTTACGTAACAAGAATATATTAAGAATATCAATCATATAAATGAAAATGATAATCATTATAGAATAATTAAACAATATAAAATATGAACATCTTATTAATTATTATGAGTAAAAATAATCATAAGTTAAGCAAATAAATGAGGTTAGGGACACCTCACTAAATAAATACACATAGAAAATAACATAAATAAATAAACATAATAATATATAAAATTTTAAAAAGATAAAGTTTTCTTCCTCCTACCTTAGAATGTAGACTTATCAAGAGTTAATTGTGTAAAAAATTTACTATTCTCTTTCTGCTCACTTCGCTCTCTTTCTCTTTTTCTCTCTTCTCTTCCTTTTTTCTTTTCTTCCTTCTCTCTTTTTCTCTTTCCGTAACTAGTATCCCCAATTTTACTATATATGAAGCCTATTTATAACATGAGAGGTAATAATTACTTATTTCTAAAAACTTAGTTAACTTGGTTTAGTTTCTATTTACTTCATTTAATATCGGCATGTGTTCCCGCAGATCGATAAGATTTCTATCTCATCCATTCGTACATCAACTCTTTGTGCATGTTTATCAAATTGAATTTAATTTTGTTTTCCTTTTCTTTTTAACTCTTATATAAAGTAACGTAATACATATCTAAAATACGTTGCCACAGGATATATATATATATATATATATATATATGTGTGTGTATAG